TTGAAATTTTAGGATTGTTACAGACCTGCTACAGTTTGTCGGTTGTCGATGATGGTGACTTGCTACAGTTTTGCTTTTGTTTGCTGTTTTTGTCCTCCCCACAGACAATATTCAAATAATACAGCAAGAGGTTATCTAATCCATCTCAAGACTTTGTTGAGTGATTTGTAATTTATAACCAGTCTTAGAGTTCCTCTTTCAATTTCTGAGGCCTTTTCTATATAAAATGCCGAACAGCTCCGTGGTGATGAGCTTTTCCTGATAAGTCTTTTCTCTAAGAATTCCTTTATTTCTTTTTTACAAATTTCAAGTAACTTATTATTCATTTGAAGAGGTTCTGCTTTAGTAGGAATTTTGCTTTCTCTGAAGTCTGGTTCATAAGGTAGTTTTACTATGTGTTGTTTCCTATCCCAAAAAGGCATTATGGATTTCCGTACAAATATCTTTTTCCATATTTATTTTTAAGGATTGGATTTTATTTTGTGTTTGTGGAAGAGACAATTTTTCCTCTATATTTTTGTATTTTATTTCTTCTATATTTTTGTATTTTATTTCTTCTTTTAGATAGTACAAAAATTTTTCTTGAAAGAAATTGTGTCTCTAATTTTGTTAATCTCATGGACTCTGAGCTTTCAATCAAGGTAAATTTGACCTTATGCCCTTCTATGCTAGCTTCTATCCCTGTATCATCTATGTTTATTGGGTAGAGCATATTAAAAATTGGAGTCCCTAAGATAACATGCTAGCTTAAACCTTTCACCATTATGAAAGGAAAGTTGAAACAAGCACCATTATTACAAACTGCAGTATCTGTTAATTTGTAGTTTATAAGCATTTTACTAACGTCTGTCGTATTAAGGACTTAAGTAGTTTTGCTAAAATATTTGGTTGGTACTAATCCTTCATTAATACAATTTAGATCTACACCTGAATCTATTAAAGCAGTGGTTTGAAAGCTGTATTCCTTTTGTACCACGATTTTAATATTGGTAAACCATTTTTGAGTTATAATTCTATCAACTAAATTTACA